ATTCGCACGCTTAGTCGCAATATTTTCCATCAGTGCATTTTGTTCACGTGTCGGGTTTGTCACATTGAAATATTACTGATATGCACCTGCGTTTATAAATTGATTACAGACGCTTTTTCTCGTCAATTTAATCCTCGGTACCCCGAAAATATTGAATGCATTTTCCCGTTCGGATTTTTAGCAGGCAGGATATTCGCTATTCGCGATTCAGCCAAGTATGCATTACTAATCATGTTGAGAGCATGAATAGCGCATGGAACTTTTTCTACAAACAACCATCGATTTTCTTTTGAAGCTTTCACAAGCGTTCATCATTCAATGGGGAATTTGCAGGAGGTTTTAGTTTGGGCAAACCGAGCTTTCGAGGGAGAAAAGGTGGATAATGTGACAATTTTTCAAAAATTCCTCAGTTACGAATAAACAAGGAACACAAGCAAATTTGCTTGGACTAAAAGTAGCGTTTCCCAGTCAAAAAGATGATTCAACTTTAAATTTAAATTGGCTTAAATGTCTATTATATTATAAAAGATCCAGAAACTAAATTTAATTTTTTAGTTGCTTAGAAAATAATCTAACACGTTTGTGTTTCAATGTTTTTCTTCAAGACTCATGCCAACACAAACTCTAAGAATCGATAAATAACAAACTTCTTAAAATAAAACTCGATTGAATTTTATTTTTTATAAACAAAAACTGTAATTTCTTTCCAAGAATCCCCATCACTGTCAATAAATTAAAACATACACGTGTTTTTTAAACATTTCCTGTTAAATAAATGATCTAAATATTTCGAAATTGGAAAATTAAATTGAACTAATAGTTCCGAAACAAATCGAACATAGGAATTTCATCGTCCGATCCAATAGTTGACTGCAACCCATTTAAAATGTGTTGTTATTGCAGGTGCAATAAAAGTTAAGTGTTCTCGTAATGTTTTGCGGCAGCATTGAGTGTTTTATTTATTAGTTGGTTTTACGTTCGGAATGAAATAAACTAAAAGAAACATAAACAATTGGTGGGTTTTAATTTACAATGGCTCATATTTAGTCACGTCGAATAAAAATAGGAGAAAATTGAATTTTCCAGCTAGGTTTTAGTCGATATATAAAATCAAGCCGTTGCTTTGTGCAGACTTTGTCCTCCATTGTTATGGCTGCCACTCCATAAAAGGTAAACTTTGTTAAATAGTCCTCTCGAGCAAAGGAAACGGTCCAACTTGAAACCCAAGTATTTTCCAAACTTTTTCCACGCTCAGGAAAAACACTTTTGCAGACTATTTAATTACCAAGCGAATGGGAGAAGCGTTTTACGTTAAATTGAGCGAATAAAAGCTTATGGGCTGATATTACACTTATTATTTTAGTAGATTATTTAAGGGAAAATGCAATTTTCAAACCGGCGCCGCTAGAATTAATATGGCAAAAAATCCAAACCATATTTTACAGTCATTTGTTTGCCAGCGTTATATATGAGCTAGCTCAAGGGTCACCTTTGGGTCAGACTAGGACGATTTATAGCTCAACTTTAAAATTATAGATTGTCCTAATCTTGCTACCTACGAAACTCGAAGGATTTATGCTCAGTTTTTCAAATGTTTGTACTAAAATAGTTTCAAGGAATTTAAAATATTACCCTCTTGCTTTAGTTGAACAGAGTCTGAACGTTTTTACGATGCTTTTGAGAAGCAGCATCAAAGCCGGCAAAGACTTCGGGTGCAAACAGTTGTAGATTTCGGATGTTGTTTCCAGACCAAACCCAGATTGAAGCTAATAGCTGAGCATTGGCTAAACTCCAGTCAGAAAAATGGTGCACCACAATGTTTTTTTTTTCGAACAAAATTTTTACCGTATTCTGCAGACCAGTGGAAACAAAAAAACTATTCTGGGTTTTCTTGCTGAAATGAACAGTTTTTGGAAAACAAATTAAAACCTTTGCAATGTCCGAGACACAAACGCGACATTTAACATTTGGTAGATTCAAGTCAGAAACATTGTGAGCGTTAATGGTTTTGCTGCATCACAAACTCTCTGAAATTCTCAATTGAGTTTTAAACGAAAAAGGGCTTTTGGGTTTCATCGGCAAATTTTTTTTTTACAGTTTCTTGTTAAAAAAGGCAAAAGTGTCGACTAGAAAATTATCGTTATATTTAACTTGTGGTGTTTTTATGCAGAAAAACTGTGCACGCCAATGGTTTTTTTAGAAATGGAAATTATAGTTTCACTCCGCAATCAGTTGGAAATAAAAAAGCTCTTTTGTGTTTTTCTGCTAAAATGGACAAGTTCAGACAAAAAAACTAAAACCGTTGCATTATCCCAAAAAAATTGCGTTATATCTCACATTTGATACTTCGAGACCGCGAAGCAGAATTCCTGCAAGATATTTTTCTATTCATATCTGCAGGCAGTTGAAAACCAAACCCTCTTCTGGGTTTGTGTTCAAACAAACACTTTTTTCTAATTCTCAATTGAGTTTTTAATAAAAAATATCTTTTGGGTTCTTGTAAGCAGCATCAAATCCGGCAAATACTTCGGGTGCAAATGGTTGTAAGACACATCCTGCAAACACAAACTCTCCTAAATTCTCAATTGAGTTATAAACTAAAGAGCGCTTTTGGGTTTTGTCGCTAAAATTCACAGTTTCTCGTTAAAAAAGGCAAAAGTGTCGGCTTGTCCTAGAAAATTATCGTTAGAATTAACATTGGGTGTTATGAGACAAACAAAACTGTGCACGCCAAGGGTTTTTTCAGAAATAAAAATTATAGTTCCACTCCACAATTAGTGGGAAACAAAAATGTCTTTTTTGCGTTTTTCTTCTAAAATGGGCACTTTCAGGTAAAAAAAATTAAACCGCTGGATTGTCCCAAAAAATGTACGCTATACCTCACATTTGAGACTTCGAGGCAGCGAAACCGAATTCCTGCAAATAATTTTTATTTTCATATTCTGCAGGCAGCTGGAAACAAAAAGGTCTTCTGATGAAATCCTTTTTGGGTTCTTTTGCCAAAATGCACAGTTTCTGATCAAAAAAATTTAATCCATTGGATAGTCCGACAAAAGTTACCACAATATTTAACATTTCATAATTGCGAACTGGTTCTAGTTGGGCTTGAGACCAGCAAATCAAAAAAGGAGTATCCGCTTTTATCAAATTTTTAACATCAACCATAAACCTGCTTTAATCAATACGCAGTTTAGCCCCGATTTGAAAGGGCTGTAAACCCTCCAACTTACATGCTACCTTTCAAAGTTGATTAATGGTATTGCAGCGTTCCTTCCCATATCACACGTTGCACGAAAATCGTGTGTCACATTTTAATTAATTTCCTGGATATTAATAGGGGCCGCCAGATAGAAGATAAAGGGCTGGCAAGGCGGGTCGGCCGAAGATAATCACTTAATTTATAAGAATATTTCACCTTTGGAGAAAACGCCCGATCAGAGGCCAAAAGGGCGGCTTCGTAGTCGAAGCGTGTTCCTACCAATTGTTCACAAGATATTAAAGCCATTACTCCTCTCCGCAAAATCAGTGTGACTCCAGAAATTTTTTTCTACTTTTGCTGGACTGGAAAAAAACTGGAAAAAAATGTATTTCAGCTTTAATGATGGATCATTTGCTGCTCATGTAGGAGTTATTAAATATCCAACTTTGGATGATAAAATGATGGATCTTTGTTGGTTGAAGTTATGTATATGAACCCACATGTGAAGGGCAATAAAGCAAACTTTATGCGATCCATATCAATTTGTCTGTTCGTTCTTTTGCCAGACGAAAAAGTCGTTCCTTTCCGTCAATACCATTAACTGTCTATCTACGTCGTGTGTCAATAAACCAGCATTAAAGGTACAAATCCGTTGGAAATCGATAACAAATTACAGATTGTCATTTGTAAAAGTGGAAGAACAAATAACGGGAAATGAACCCGAGGTGACCCTTGTCTGAAAGTTGGCTGAAAAATTTTTCATCCCGGGAAAATCTCCGACAAATACAATAGAGTGGCAAAGAAAACAGCATTATCTGGGGAATATCGGAAAATGATTTGTTGCATGAATGACCGTCCTCGAGATACATTATTTATCTTTGTCAAGGGCAATAATTTTTGAGATTTTCAGTCTTCAAGTACGTGCAAAGGTTTTATTTGCGACATGATCAGAAAAACTCGTTTTTTCTTGTAAGCATTCGCTCATTTTCTGTTTATTGAAAGTGAAGTTTATTAGATTCAGAGCTGAGTTATTTCAGGATTTTTTTAATTGCGCAAAAATCTCTGTCCTTTGCTGCAACATTCCAGCGAAAAACTGTGAACAACATATAATTTATCTCGAATTAATTTAGTGTCTACTACTTCCAGTAGAATTACCGTCAATCTGATTTAAAACAGAAAGACACACCGAGGTGGAAAAGAATGAAGGTGCCAGAAGAATCAGACACTAAGTTTAGATGGCGGAAATGAAAGCGGCGTTTAATGAAAGTAAATCGTTTTATTTCTTTTCGGGTTAAATTGAAATTTAATTACGTTTGCTGGAATTTACTGTATGGAGTTTTCCGCTTTTTCTGCGTTACATTTACGCCGAGAATGACGCTTGACAAAAACCAGCACATTTTTTGCCCAGTTTCTTCAAACTACGTCGAAAATGGGCATTAAATATGGCGAAAGTGTCTATTTACGCACTCCGTGTGGTGTGTCCACCGTATGGACACATTGATTGATATTGGGCTGAAATTTATAAATTTACACTTAATTGACCTGGAATTCAACCGAAAACTGCGAACTGCTGATTGATATTTCCTTTCATTTCTCAAGCTGTTGTCATTAGTTATCCGCTTATTGCAGATTTTCTTTGCCCAAAGCACTGAACCAGGCGCAATTTGTTGTGATTTATGTGTATGCATTGTTGAAAGCCATGTGATTTTATTAAAACCTCGATCCAGGGCGCTCGAGAAATGGCATCCAATATCGGTCTGATTTCTTTTTTGTATTTGGGCTAAAATTGTGATTTTTTCAGTTAACATTTGGACTTCCAACGGGCAAGTGTTCATCAACAATGAAATTCCAGCGCAAGTGGCCACTCCAGCAGTCCAAAACGACAATTTGGTCACTCAGACCGTCTATGGCTTTTTAGATTTTACCACCACAATCGGAAACACCATTATGGTGTTTTCTCCGCAAAGTTCATCAGCTGTTACCGGTAAGAAAGAATTTCAGTTGGGTGATTTTACAAAAAAATCAAAGGCTGAACACTACGAGAAGGTTTTGGTGCCTCTTCTGGTTTTTATGTACAAAAGTTTGTGTTTTCCTGCATAAGAACCTCGAGGGTTTGTAGGAGAATGAGCCCTAAGTTTTATTTAAGGAGCAATTATTTTTTTTACTACCAATATCTTTACGAAAATATAATAAATATAATCATGCTCCGTGAATTTTTATCCAAAGGTTCAATTTTTGTACCTTAACATAGTCAATTGGAAATCGTATTATTTTCTAGCGCAATTTTGTCCATTCTGTGGCCGTGGACTTTCCTTATGTGTCTTCCCGATTTTCAGCTAAAACCTCAGAAAACACCGCAGTTAAACTAAGTACTGTTTCAGAAAAAACCAAAGATGTAACATCAAACATAATCATCGACACTAAACCAGCCGTCGTTAAGCACGACGTGGTAAAAATCAGTCCTTCAAAGACGGTTTCGCATAAAATCGAGACGGTTCAAGAAGTGTCGTCGATAGTTCACGTGAACTCAGGCCCAGATGCAAATCCGCAATCAAAAAGGCCCGAGATTAAGCATTCGCCGGCAACTCGAGTCAATGTAATTTCAAGCAAAGCCGTGGTGGCCCCGATAATTGTAAGTAAAGTCCAGGTGATCGAAGAGGTTAAGCCAGCCGCAAAGCAGCACATAATCACCAAAGTGGAAGTTGTTAGCGAAGCGCCCAAGTCGGTAAGTTTTCTTGTTTACATGGAAGCTTATCAGCTTTTAAACTAAAAAACTCGTCTCCAGAAAACTTTGGTTCTCGGTCTGCTCGAGTAAAAAATCCCAGAATACATAACTTGTTTTAACGAATAATTCAAAGTGATAAAACAGCTTCCAGCGACGCGATACTCAATTTCAGATTATCGCCAGTAAAGTCGAAGTAATAGCCGAAGAAAAACCGACCAGAAGTGTCGTCCAAGTGAAGTCGGACGACGAGCCGGCAGTGATTATCGGAAATAACATCGGCGATCCAGAGTACGAATTCCTATCCAGCCAGCCCTCAGAAGTCGTCGAGCAGACGTACAAAGTAATAAACTTAAGGCCCAGCTCGAAGTTCCAGCAGAAACTGCGGCCGTCTGTCGATGTGAAAAAACAACCGACTAGAAGGCCTGATAATCCGCGCCCTACAGGATTAGTTTCAAAGATGGAAGGTACGACTCTATGAGATTAATTCAAGTTACACAATTTTTCACTTCATTCAACATTTCAGGCATGGTAGTTCATGATGGAATCATGACCTCATACGAAACCAGTGTGATTGGAACATACATTAATGGAAAGTACGCCCAAGTGCTGCAAAGCACATCGCAAGTTTTCAATCATCCGAAAGAAAACCCGGTGCGAGGCAAGATTGCGCCCACTCAAAGCCTAAGAATTCTGAAAACAGCAGCGCCCGCTTTAAAGCCACATAATAAAGTAAGATCAACTTGCCTCAATGCTGAATAAGTAATGAAATGGTAATTTTGTCTGCCTACTAAACTTATAGAAACAGCAGCACCTGGAGCCGACCCCTGCCGCCTCCATTAACGAAGATGTGTCCATGGCGGCAGCTGATGCTTTTAACGCGCAAAATTCGATAAAATCCACGAGAAAGCCGGCGAAAAGGTTTAAAAATCGACCAAAAGAAGCTGAAACGGTAGAACAAAGAACTGAGAAAGAGACCGCGACCAGCAGTCAGCCCACGTATAAAAAGCCGGCCAAGAATAGAAGCTCCACTAGGAATTCCAAGTGAGCTTTGTTTCTGTTTATTTACTTTCAAACTCCCCTTTACTCGGTTTATAATTGACCCTTTCTCTTAATAACGCATCGGTCGTTACCTGCGTTTCTGGCCAAATTTATGACGAGAACTTCAAGCTCTTTCAATCACTATAGAACGCAAATTTCCCATAATTTCTGCTATCAATTTAAACTAATTTTATAACGGTCGATTTAATTTTAGCTGCTTTTGTAAATAAGTCGCCTCTTTCACTTATTACTAATAAGTCTATAATTTCCTTGCATAATTTGATCTAATACCTGAACATGGCATGATATGGAAAGGCGAAACGTTGTTTCTTATGGAGATGCACTAAAACAATTTATAACGCAATAACAAACTTTTTTGCAGGTTTTAGGCTTTTGTCTGGTTCTCACGCAAAATGCGACCATTTTAAGTTAATGGGAGATTGAGAAACGCTCTAAGTCTTTCGCTAAAATTTTGAGAACCGGTTAAGCTGAGAGCCTCTGGTTTTCGTTGCATGATGGAGCCTTAAAATGTCCACTTTTTATCGAGAGGTTTTAGGTTTTACGCAAAATGCGAAAGTTTCAAATTATTGCTGGTCTTGAGAACCGCTCGCAGCATTTGGATCATATTTAGGGAACTGGTTGAGCTGCGACGCTCTAATTATTAGTATAGATAGAGCCTTAAAATATAGAGCTTTTTGGCCAAAAGTTCCTTTTAGGAATGTTTCTAGCTTTCACGCTAAACGTAAAAATTGAAAACCTTGCGGGTTTAGAAAACTGCTCTTAGTGTTTGCCTCATTTTTAAAAAATCGGTTAAGGTGCAACCATCTCGTTTTCATTGTTAAATTGTGGATTTTTTTTTGTTCCCTAACATGATTTTAGGAATGTTTATAGTTTTATCGCAAAATGAGAAAATAATTAAATAATTGCGGGACTTGAGAACCGCTTATAGCATTTGGCTCATATTTACATAACGAGTCAAGCTCCGAAGGTCTCATTATTGTTTTTATACAGCCCTAAAGTGTAAACTTTTAAGGCGTAAAAGTTATTTTAGGAATGTTTGTGGTTTTCAGGCAAAATGCAAAAAAATAAAAATATTGCGGGTTTTGAAAACCCCTCTTAGTCTTTGGCTCCTCTTTAAAAAATCGGTTAAGCTGCGAGGTTCTGGTTTTTACCAGAGTAGAGCCTTAACATTTTCATTTTGTTGCAAAAAATAATTTTAGGAATACATATTTCTAGTTTTCTCGCTAAATTAGAATTAAAAAAATATTGCCGCTCTTGAGAACCGTTCTGATATTTGGCTCTCTTTTAGAGAACCGGTTGAGGTGCAAAGCTCTTGCATCCGTTTTTTGTACAGAGCCTTCAAATCTATATAATCTATATACCTTTCTGGTCTAAATTTCATTTTAGGAATGTTTCTAGTTTTCTCCCAATATGCGAATTTTTAACAACTGGATTTTGCTTTTGAGACCCGCTCTAATATTTCGCTCATATTTAGAGAACCGGTTGAGGTGCAAAGCTCTAGTAGCCGTTTTTTCGATAGAGCCTTCAAATCTATACCTTTCTGATCTAAATTCCATTTTAGGAATGATTCTTGTTTTTGCAACTTGCAGAAACTTTAAAACATTGCGGACGTTGAGAATCGCCTTTGGTCCTTGGCTCATATTTGGACAATTAGTTAACTTATCACACTCTAATTGTCACTGCGATATGAAGCCTTAAAACGTGCATTTTTTATACTAAACATACCATTAGGTACGTTTCTAGTTTCCGCACAAAAACCGACTTTTTTGCTTCAATTGGTTCAGAAATTTCTCACTTTGCTCCACGGTCTTAAGCCAGAAAATCAAGCAACTGTTGCATGTCACACCCTTTCAACAACTAAACTTCTTGACCTCTGTTACTGTCTTCTTTCCTTCTTCTATATAATTGAAGCATGTGAAGCATGCGAATGCACCGACACCATGCACTAACACATGTAAATAAATACAGAGCACACACGTCTACACATAGACAACCGAAATCTGGTCGAGGGAATCGCAAATCCAATCGCAAATCAAAATCTTCGAAAAACTCTTCAACTCCTCCGCCTGCCAACAGCGAAGAACATACGGCAGCACCGTCTGGTAAACGGTTTTCTAGTGGAAATGGACGAAGGAAGACGAATCGGGCTTCAACAGTCACCAGTGAGGAGAAGAACAGTCCAGCAGTGAGCCGGAGGGGCTACAAGCCGAGAGTGCAACCTTCGCCGGTAGATCAATCTCCATCTGCTTCTACCAGCGTGTATAAATTCAAGCTAAATAGGTAAGAATTAAGATGTGTGTCCTGATTAAAACTAGCCTTATCTGAGCGTGATTTTAAGGCCATTCTTGCTCCTAATTGCTTAGCCGATTGATTAATATGCTATAAGCCGCTGAATGGACCCAGTTCGGTGTGCGCCCCATTCGAATGTCCGATATGTGTTCTAAATTCACGCTCCGACAAGCATTAAAGCGCATATTAGAAGATAAACTATGCGGCATAGGGAACGCAGATATTAAACTTGAGGGATCGACATCACATGCAAAATTTTGTCCCTTGGGGTCTTCTCTTATGTATTGTTGATTGGGAATCAAATTCGACGTCTAATAGATCATGCAAATGAGGGCGAAAGTTATGATTTCAGTTCCATTGAGGATCGAGGGTGTGTTCAGGAATCGCAAATTGGACGAGCCTTTGAGGAAGATTTCAGTTCTAACACAAAGGCGAGAAGAACAGCAATTTTTCTGTAAAATTTGCCGAATAGTAAAGAATTTCACATTTAGTTTTTAGAACCAGTTTCTTGCCCGAAGGACTTGGCACAACTTCTCCGTCAACAATTTATTCACTATTCAAATTCCCACAATTTAAAGCAAAAGTTGTGCAGAGCTGTTAGGGCGTGGCTCTGTTTGGGAAGGAAAACGTGGAAACTTGTAAAAAAAACAGTTTCACTTTTTTATAGTCATTGTTGCTCCCAAATTTTCGATTGATAATTTGTTGCTTCTGTGTTGGAATTTTAATAGCTTAAAGTGAAATGCGCCTTCAACTCTAGAATTTTCACCCTTGAACTAAAAATTTATTGTTGCGGAATTTGTGCCGAGCCCTACGGGCACGACACTGATTGACTGGTAGAAAGTTACAAATCAGTAAAAAACCGCGAATTGCTGCTTTACAATCAGAGTCATGCCTGAAGGGTTCGTCACAACTTCTGCGTTAAAAATTTGCTGCTAAAATTGTAATAATTTTTAAGCGAAACTTGTACTTTAACTTTGGGAATTTTCGACACTGAAGGAAAAAATTGTTCTTGGGAAATTTGTGCCAAGCACTATGGGCACGACACTGATTCATAGAAGAAACATAAAAAATTAGCAAAGACCGCCACTTTATAATCAGTGTCGTGCCCAAAGAGTTAAGCTTGAACGCAACTTCTACAACAAATTATTGGTTTAATAATGAAAACTCAACAGCAAGATCAAACTTGTACTGCTCCTCACAGGAAAAAAACCGGCTTGGAAGAGGGAAGTTAAAACTCAATAAGAAACTTGAGCGGCAAGCTTTCGTCTCCCAAAGCGCCTGTGTATGCATATACGAATGTACAAATTCGTCTTGTAACCGATTTATTTGAAAAAACTATCAAGTAGCGTTGAACCTACAGCAAAAATTCAAATATTTCTAGCAAAAACTCACTAAAAAACGCCGTGAATAACATCTGGACTAAACGAAACCCAAGTAATGTTTTGGCGGACAGAATATAATTACCGCAAATCTGCAAATCCGCAGGGCCTACGTTAATATAATGGATTACGGTTATATGCGATGTGGTTCCTGTCGGGATTATGTTGCAGTTTAACCTATTCGAAAGCCGGGTTTTAATTAAAGTTTGCAGAAGTCCGGCCAGGCCTGGAGTTATTGGGCTTTTTTTCGGCGCTGCATAACAGCAGAAGAAACGTCCATTTTTAGCAATTGGCGATTTGGTTTTTAATTTGTACTATTTGGCTTTGGAGAGAGCCAGATTTTTAATTACGGGATAAAATGCCGATGAGCCATTCAGAAAAATTCTGGACTGAACACAACGACCTCACAGCCAACGCCACTCTCATTCGGCAGGCCAAAAAAATGAATGTTGAGCAAAACGAATTCCATTTGCAATATGAGTGCCGGATTGATACACTTAAAAATCCTGCTGGAAAAACGATTTTATTTTGTTTTTTTTCGCATACTCTTTTCAATTGCATATACCCGGCTCCAAAGCTTGCATATGCATTGCAGCCTCCTGGAATGCCTCGTTGCTAATAAAACAACATTTCAATTTAGGGCAATATTTAATTTCAGAACGCCGGGAAGATGGCAGTACAAAACAAGCCCCAAACCGAAGGTAACGATTCGCAAGCAAAGCGGCGACGAAGACGGCGCTGGAAACAACGAAACGTTATCAGCTTCGGCTGCTATTAAACTGGGAGAAGCTGGACCACTTAGCAACGACGTCGTCACACCGCTAGCTCGATCGGACGATGTCGATAGTCTTGAAGGCTCCGAGTCGATAACCACAATTATCGACGATGATGGCGCAACAGAGAATCGTGTCGATAGTCCTTCTTTGCCTCTGGAGACTCTGAAAGTGGAAATATCCACTCCTCCGGACTTCAAGGATGTTTACTATGAAATTGCCACCATTAAGTCTCCCTATACTTTCCAGGTAAGTCATCAACATCAGCAGTTGATGAATGTTTTCCAATGTTCATTTGACCCATCGAACTAATAAATTGAAAATCTAAGGCCCACTTTTAGCCCCATGTTGGTTTAAAGTCACTTGGGTAGTTTAATCAAGCGTCTATAAGAAAATTGTATTTTTACTAGCCGATTTAGGACCTGAAATTTGACTGATTTCAGCTGAAGCGCAGCGCAAAGATTGATTAATTTTGCTGTTGTTGAGTGTTTGGGTTTCACTGCAGACAGGATTTTGGTAGTAAAATTTCCCGATGAAACCCACTTGTGCTAAACAATGTGTGTTAAGAACTGAAAAGGGAAATTTTTCAATGGCCTTCTTTACAGCCAATCTGAAGCACTAAAACTCCAATATCCTCCTCACTCTTTAGGTTTCATTTATGATCTAACAAACTGGAAAAAAATCATATTCACTGCTGGAACATTTTAGTTGACTAGTCACCTTTTCCCCCAGGAGATTTTCGTCGCGATATCCCTTTCAATTCACTTGTAGCCGCCCCATAATCGACTTTCTCCTTAATGGGAAATTCACTTTTTCCTAATAGCTAAATTTTCCACTTTAATGGAAAAATCCCAGAACTCCTATAAACGCATTATCAAAGGATACGTAAAGCTTCCTATATTACGGGCGTTATGAAAGTGTTCGCTTCCGGCCTTAAAAAAAGCTTTAAATTTTACATGCCGCTATTATGATACTCTACGGTATATACGGTGATCGAAAAAGTGCAGTATTTATCTGAAAGCAGATGAGTCTTAAATGGTTGAGGCGGTTTCTTGTTTAAAAAAACTTTTTGTACGGTAATTTGCATAAAACATTTTTGCCTTTAAAATATTCAATTAGCACAAATTGATGAAAAGTGTTCTAATCTCACAATAGAGAGCAAATTGTGTAAGTAAAATCCATTTATTTTCAGTGGAATGATAATTTTTATGAACAAAATTTTGGCTTTGAGCTCGCCCACATCACTTTTTTCAGTAATATCCATATTTATGGAAAATATTCAAACAAATTTTATGAAAAATTGCCAGTTTTAACCTTAAGTTTGCTGGCTATATTTTGATGTATTTCCAATTTACAGTCTTGAGGAAACAAATTGTTGAATTTTTGTCATTTTTGTCCACTATGAAAACGCAGGTGTACAAATAATCTAAAAGTATTTAAAAATTTGCAGTTTTCATTCCAGACCAGATAATAACTTCAAACTTACTAGAGAAGATAGTTGACTGTGAAGCTGTAGAAAATTTCATTGAGATCGCGTTAAGATATTATTTTTTTCCACATTGAAGCCACAGGTGCACGTGGGACTCTTTACTCAACTGCACGCTCTTTTTAAAAAATCGTAACTTTCAAACCTGACTAGATAATAACTTGAAACTGGTCAACCTTATAGGCGATGGCTGACTTTCAGTCTGTAGAAAATGTCATTGAGATCGCACTAAATCATCATTTTTTCCCACATTGAAAGCACAGGAGTACAAGTGGGACCTTCATTCAACCGCGCTCGTTTTAAAAAATTCGTAGTTTTCAATCCTGAGTAGATTATCAGTTGAAACTGAAACACCCTATAGAAGATGCTTGACTCCGAAGGGGTAGCAAATACAATTGAGATCACATTAGAACCTGATTTTAGTTCACGTACAGACAAACAGTTGTGGTGGCTAAAATTTCAGCAAACACTTTAGGGAATTCGCGATTTTCCAGTTATCGGGTACTTTTTTAGCAAAGAAACATAAAATTTATAATTCCTGTTCAGAAAATGTCCCTGTTGTAAACAACCTTTGTTTAGGCTTGAAGATTTAGCGTTGCTGAAAGCTTAATAAAAAATTAAAATAATAGACAAATCGGAACTGACATTCGGAAAAAATTAAAATGATAATCCATCAACCAAATTCTTTGTCTCGACATACTATTTAAAAAAAAATGACAATTATCAACCTTTGGTATATAGAAAACGTATCCATACAAATAGAAATTTTAATTTTAAATGATATCAACCGATAGTGGTAAAAAACGCATTGTAAAAAGTTTGTGTGGTAAAGCTAAATAATTTGTAATGGATCTCATTTTTCAACTAAAAAACACTTCATTGGAGAGTTTTAAATTTCAATCATTATCCAAATTCCCTTGTTTTGTGGAAAATATTTTAATGACGTTCAAAATTCAGAATTGAAACAAAATGAAAATGAACCCACTACAAACCTGTTTATTGCATTTATTCCGGGAATTTCAGATAGAATTAAATGAGTAGATAACAAAGGCATTATTAGAGCTAATTTCACAACTGAAAAATTTAATTAAATGCAAAATTTCAAAAACCAAACTTGATGACAAACGGGAAACTACAGAAAACGCAATTTACAAAATTCCTTACAAATGTGATTGATTTTATATACAATTATAAATCTATCGACTTTTTACACATTTGTGTTAATTTACTGTTTCATTCCTAATTAAATTTTTCTCTTGCAACTCGCAGGATTCCTTCTAGGTGGTGAAACGGAAGCACCGTTTTTTAATCTGTTGTAGAAGATGTGAGAAAATTATGTTCTTAAATGACAAAAATGTTCAGGCAAAATATCCAACAATAAGCGGTTTTTAAAAGAAAACGCCAAATAAATACTAATCCGAAAAAAATCGCTCTGAGGTTTTTTAGAAATTAAAATTGAAATAAATCCGTTAATCATCATACAATCTCTAGGTGAAGGTTTTTGAATTCAGTTTGATAAAAAACTCGTTCTTTATTCTAAAATACGATTTTTATCAGTCTGTAATAGCACCCATGAGGACATTTTTCAAGAGAAAAATTCAACAAAAAATTAACTGAATCTCAAAAGCATCAGCAAGTGTGTGCACGGTCTATTCAAGCAAAAGTTTGCACAGAAAACTGAGATAAATGCAAAAAGCTAGCACATAAATTTGGCAACGACGTATTTGTTTGTACCTGCCTGTGAAGTATTCCCATTACCAATTGCTTATGAACAAAGAGAAGCTAAATAACTGAAAACCATAATTTTTCCATTCCAAACCATCTTTGAATGTTCTATTTTCAGGTGGGAAATGTGAAGAACACACGCTACATCACAGTGACATCAACATTCGAGAAGAGCCTGGAAAATTCGGAGCCAACACCGACTTTAGCGCCGACCGAGCCATTGACCGAAAATATTCTTGCCACGACAAGCAATTACGCAAAAGATAACAACTTAGACTCTAGCATAGCGACATTACCGCCCATTTATCTCGCATCCGATGTAGCGACGCCACCCCTCGAGACACTTACTGAAACATTCAGCACCACCCAGACAATGCTCAAGACACACATTTTGCCAGTAATTCGCAGCGTCAATGACACTACGAGTTCTACTTTAGTGCAGACCTACTTGATAACTCGATTAGTTACGGCCACGAAGACTCTTCCACCCATGGAGGCGTATCATTTCAATCCCAGCAAGACATTTAATGAGTTTAACACTCGGCTTGATGAGGCCGGCTCCGAATTCAACTTGCAATTTGGCGACAGCAATGAGCAGGATGAGGACGAAGCTCCGAAAAGAGTGCTTCCGGCCGATTTGGATCTAGATCTGGCTAATATCGGGACGAACTTCAATTTGCCGGAGACTGATAAGGCGAAGATTGAGAAGGAGCTGAAGAATCGTCGGGTGCAGCAGAAGCCGCCAATGAACGATTTCCAGCAGAACCTGAGTCCGGATCAGCTGCAGCAGCTGGCGTTCTTGAGGTTGCTGAATCCTCAAGCGAATCCGAATCAGGGCCAAGTCATCACAACATCGAGGCCAGTGGTGAAGGTGGAAACTGTCTATGAAACGCATGTGCTTCCAGTCACGCAAGGCCACAATACGGTTTTGAGCACGATTTCGAAAGTGAAAGGAACCTTCACGAAAACTGACTACGAATTTGGAACCAGCACCATTGCGCCAGCGTTCCCTCAGCCGATTCCTCAAATTCCACAGATTCCCCAGATTCCGCAGATTCCCCAGATTCCTCCTCAATTGTTCCCTCCGCAGGTGGGCCAGCCTCAGTTCACCATCACGTCTTCGCCGGTCACTCAAAACACCATCATCACGCAAACCAACAGCAAAGTGCTGAAGTTGACTTTCGGAGCTCGGACTGCTTTGACTACAGTCTTTTCCACTACAGTGGTACCAACGGTTTTGACTACCTACATGACGGCATCGGTTCCGGTGGTTGCTCCAACTGCAGCTTTTCCTGGGTACTTCCCAGCCCCTTATCCTGGATACCCTTATGTGGGGTAATTTTTTTATAAGTGTGGTGCCAAAACGCTGTGTATATAGCTGAATGAACTGAATATCCTCGGAATTAACGGGATTTTTTTAAATGGTAAATAATATTTATTTGCGGGGTCCAGACCAGGGCTGGAGTGAGGTGAGGAAATACCCAACTGTACATAATCATGCAACGTTTTATCTACTTCAGTGCTTCTTCCAGTTTATTTTAGGCGCTTCCTCTCATATTATCTCCTCTCGTGATCCACTCAAGGAAGCAACTTTTATTACGTTTTGTTTTCTGTTAGATTTTATCCTTGCGGCTTTTGCCAGATATCGAACTGATTTTATACTCATACTTATGTCTGTAGCGAAGATCAATGTGCAATAGATTTTTAGAATTACCACTGTATATTTGTATTAACTGATTATTTGATTGTTTTATTATTTTTGTATTTCGGACTTTTCTTAGAAAATAAATCGAGATTGAAAAACACTGTCTTGTCTTTTTCGTATAGTGGGTTGGAATCGGTATGCAACTGCCTACGTAAGTTCGCCGGTGAAATTCGTCAAAGATTTATTACTTTATGAAAGTTTAATCTTTAATTAACGATCCAGAGTTAATACCGTCATAATAAACATTCCGCGCCAACGTCGCGAAAGTTTACGTGCGCCAAGGGTGAGCTCTCCCCTTTGACATGATTTGAAAGTATTGTAAATTTCCTAATGGAATTGGCCCCGGAATCCTTAATGAGCTCCTCACGTTCAGTTTCCAGAGCGTGTTTATCACAAGTTCTTCAAACGACAATAGCATTACCTGTAATTAATTTCTGTGAAACTTAAAAGGGGGGATTTCCTTTAAAGCAAACGCAAACGTGGCTTATATGTATGGAACTAAGCTGCTTTGCTCTGACAGGGAAGCCGCTTTTAAAAGGTTTTTTTTTGTACGTTATGACTTAATTTAAGAAAATAGTCGCCAGGCTAAAAAGCGCTGAGTAAGTTGAGTTCAATGCTTCGTTCGAAATTCAACCAGTCCAGCAAAAAACTCGTTTTAGCACCACTAGATTGAGAAAGTTTGAAACAGCAGCTTTCATCTAAAAACAATGTGATGAAATATAATTCATTTTCTAATATTTTAACAACAATTTATCAAAAATGACGCCACCTTAGTGGTCATATCTCAAAAAAAAATTCAGCTAGGAAATTCAGTTTTACCTCAATGGATAGAGAATTGAGTAGCAGTTAGGAAAAACTTGCACTTAAAAAACATTTTTTTTAGTTTAATTTCTCTTCAACTAATAAAATGGGCCACTGTTTCAAAGACCATGCTGATGTCTTTCAAAAGGCAAGTGGCAAAAAGGCTTTGATAAATCAGAAACAGAAACACCAATAAATAGACAATAAAAAAGTACAGTTACCCTATGAAGGTAAGCAGCTCGGAAAGCTATATGATTTTGCAATAAAAAACCAATGTTTTTCAATATAATTTGTCAAACATCACCCCACATTTTTGCTCTTATATCAAGGACCAATTGAGTCAATGTGCTCAATGTTGCGTTACTGGATATAGAAGAAACATTAGCAGTTTTTACGAAAAACACATTTTTCCCAACTGAGTTTCTCTTCCACTGTTTCATAGAAAGTGGGCAAGTAGTTTAACACCATTCCTATTTTTTTCTTTTTTTCTCGTATCTCAAGAACCAGTTGATCAAACTGATTTTTTTACCACTGTATAGAGAATCAACTCATACAGGTACGGTATGAGGCAGCAGTTCGAAAATGGTGGTTTTTTTTCCTTTTTAATGTCTCTTGAACAGTTTTGGCGAAAATGGGTCAACTATGACGACCTTTTCTTGCTCATCTCTCAAGAGCCAATTAAATAAAGTAACACAATTGAGAGGGCATTTTTTTCAATCTAATTTTCCGTGCACTGATTTAACGAAAAAGTTTCAGTTTCTCAAAAACCATACCAATTTTTCGCAATATCTCAAGAACCAGTTGGACCTTCGAGCTTGTTGCTACTCCAATAGATAGATAATTAAGTAGACAGTTTTTGTATGAGGCTTATAAATATTGACACTTTTTACAGAAAAAAACAACCATGTTTTTCAGTTCAATTTCATTTCCACTGTTTGAACGAGTTTGGGTCAAGCATGACCCCATCTTATTGCCGATTGCTCCGGAAACAATTGAGACAATAAGCTGATTTTTACACTACTGAATAGAGAAGTACCTGAATAAGTCCAGTGGCCTGGAAATATTGACAAGTTTCACAAGAAAATAACAAATTTTTAAAGTTTAATTCGTATTGCAGTGTTTTAAGGAAATGGGGCGCCATTTTTTTGCTCATTCTGCAAAACTATTTGAGACAACGAGTTCATTTTGACACCAATAGATAATTAAATAATACAGTTCAGTGGTGAAGCAGCACTTAGAAAATATGGGCGATGGCGCACAAAAACATTTTTTTCAGTTAAATTTTTAGCACCCTTTTATCGAAAATGGGTCAAATATGACGCCATCTTATCGCTCATATCTCGAAAACCGGTTGAGTCATCGACATTTTTACACTTGTGGGTGGAGAATTGGCAAGTTTCACATAAAAATAAACATTTATAAATTAATTGCTTATCCACTGTCTTAACAAAAACGGGTAAGCAGTTTGAACGCGACCCAGTTTTTTTGCTTATATCTCCAGAACCAGTTGAGAGAGCGAGTTCATTTTTACACCACTACATAATTAAATAGTACAGTTACGGTCTGAACCAACAGTTTGGAAATATGGGTAGTTTCCACAAAAACTTTTTTTGCACCCTAATTTCCTTGTCTTCGTTTCAACGAAATTGCATCAACAGTTCAAACACGTTGCCACCTTTTTGCTTAGCTCAACTTGTTCTTGAGGGGGGCCATTTTTTGCACACGATGAATAGATAATTAAAATGGGCGGTTATGGTTTGAGGCTCTTCAGTTTGGAAGCATTGACAGTTTTCACACAAACACAAATTTTTTCACGTGGAACTTAATTTTTGAAAACCAAAAGCTCAAAACGAAAGTGGCACTTTTGAGTTAATTGTGTTTAATGAGCAAATATTTTATCAACAGCCAAAGTTGAACTTTAGGGTCGAAAGTCGCAAAATTGAAAACTAAAGACTCAAAAGCAGGGGTTTTCACGAGCTTCCTCGGTTCCGGAGCTGAAACCTTCAGTCCAAAATCACTTTCTTAATATAAATTTTCAAATGCTTCTGTAATTTGGGTGTTTTAAAGACAATGGCGCATTTCCTTAAACTTTCTCAAGCAGAATTATACAAGCCCTTTTATAGACCTAAATAAATCACCATTTTCCCTGACATACGGAGTGTCCCGAAATTATATTTCGTAGTCATTTATCGCCTGTTATTTTTAGCGTTTTGAAGTTGAAAAAAGTTGGGCGAGTTATCGAAAACGAATAGACGAGTGGACAAAGTGGCCTGTTCGTGTAGCTGCGCTTAAAGCGAGATTAAGGCAATTTTCTACCATAATAAAACCGAATATGATTGCATAATATATTTCTCTAGGGCGTAGAGTGGCAAAGTTCGGCCGCCCAGTCGCAATAATTGAATATGCATTTGTTATTGCCAGCAGCGGCGATTTTGTGCAGCGTATAAACCAGAACCGCTTCACACTGCTGGAAGTTTTAATTAGAAACGATCCATTGGATGCCTGGATGTACCGCAGTCGTTTCAACACCTTAGAATATACAGTTTTAATCCGGTTTGCCTTGATTTATTTCAACAAATTCCCGATTTCTACTAGCGGCAGCTTTCGCTTCCATATGTGTATGTATACATGTTTGTACAAACTTAATTAAGTTCGGATCGTTTCGAGCAGAAGTAATATTTGCCTTGGGGTATTTAAGAATCTTGGCCCCATTGAGATCGCTAATAAACTCGTGTATAGTTTATTTCCCACAGGCTGAATGGAAACTCTCGAATAGTTGCAATCAGCTCGATACTAACTTTCTGTAATTGTAAATTTAACTAGCTGAATATGGATGTGGCAAACAAATGGACTCACATTCATGATGTTTGTCCACGGTGAAATTCCTGATTAACGCATATAAAGTTCCTAATAACAAGTGAATCAGGAATTATACTGTGTGCTTAATGATAAACGTTTGCAGATAAACGCGTTATCTTATCAGAAGCTGTATGCTCAGACTGTGCTTCGCTTCGCGAGGAAAATACAATCAAATCCCATTCAAACCTTCAGTCTATAAAAAGAGCGTTTTGACAATCGAACTGGGTGTGATCCACAATTTGTGACACACTTTAGTTGGCTGTTTTACGCGAGTTTGTGCGGCTTACTAATTGTTTTGTGTGAATTTTCCACCAGCGAAATGGCCGGCAAAGGGGATGGAGAAGGCGAAGGAAGTATTCTAAAGCTAGAGAACCAGATTGCGGTCTTGAAATATGTGCTACTGTTTACCAATGTGTTGGAATGGGTGAGTCATTATTGAGGGTTTGCTGTTAAAAAAACGAGGTTTTTGGGAGATTTTGTGAAATCTGTTTAAATTTATTAATTTTTTCAAAACAGCGAAAGCCAATCAAGCCTTTAAGACAATTATTCGGAAGTTTTACGCGATATTGCCAAAGAATTTTGATGAGATTTTTGAAGCATTTTTCTTTGATTCAGCGTTTTGTTCGTCAAACATTCAGAGCATGAAAAACGCCTAAAATAGTTAAACTGGAACGCGGTGGATTGAAATAATCTTAAATACTCCAGAAACAAACAACAACAAGGCGAATTCCCGGACGGACAATTAATCATTTCGTCCTGTTATTGTTTTCTTATCTTTTGCTGTTTTCTAGGGAAATTTTGAGGATTCCACTGCATCAGTTTGACCCAAATTTGCAATTTTCATCAGAGGCAGTGCTCTTTTGTACAAAGAAGAATTTAAAATCAACAAGAAACGCATAAACGCATACGGCATACAAAATATTATTGCGCTTGTCTACTGCTTATCTCTATTTACTGATGTAGATAATCGTTTGGTAATTAAATATAGCGCTAACAATGATGATAGATTTTATGGATTAGTCCGCCGAACTTCCTAGAATATTGTTCACGTTTATATCAATAGATTTTCGACATTGATTGGGGGAAAGGGAACAATGAGCAAGTATAATTTATTGCAAGAAACACTTTTTCCACCCAATTTAAAACCGATTGGCAAATCCAAGTACTTTCATTTTTGTGAGTGTTGGTATGAGGCCCAACCTACTGTTCCAAACCACTTCTGGAAAAACCTGAGAATATCACAAGTCCAACTCTCCACTTGCTTATTCACACCAATCAGGGAAAATTTGCAAATCAAGTGTAAAGATTAAAATGAAACAAAATTGCACAACTGACTAAAATCCAGGTGCGGTTTCCACTGTACTTAAGCCCTCGATAAAACATTTCAATTTCAAGCTGAAAATGGCCGGAATTAATGCAGACAATGCAAAATGAAATTCCGGATTTAGTTGGCGACTTACGCCCGTTATTTACAATACTTCTTGCCGCGACTGGTTTGCATGCTCATTATCGCGCTCATGAGCTAATTTATTTTTATTTATGGAATTTAATTTCGGATACGGAAAACGTCGGGCTAACTTTATGGCAAACGAGCAGCAGGCGCGCCCCAATCCCAACACCGTTTTGCAAGTTCAACCATGCTTAGTTGCTTTTTAAAGGATTAAAACGAAAATTACATTTTTGTTCGCGTTCCGTGAATTAAGTGGGATTTTGCTGCCTGCTATTGTAACATTCGATTCTTGTTGTCCGCGCTAAACTCAGAAACTGATTTGGATTTTAAACTCAGTCTATTTAAAATTTTTCAGGCTGCACAATCAGTCAGGTGAAAACAATGAATCTCCCAATTTTTTTTTCTCGGGCCGTTTTCAGCCTATTGCCGGCAAAATAAAGTCGGGTAATTTGCATAGTTTTCCGTAATTTTCGGGAAATAAATTAAAAATGGGTGCTTGAAACGGTCTTAAACAGAATTGAATGTCCGGATTAACGGCGCGGAAGAAACGATTAAAGCGCTATTACCTTTCCGAATTAATACAACATGAGTTAGAAGGCTAAGGAAATTGTCTTTGAAACTATGTACTTTGAAATGTCTGCGTATCAAATCAGGGCTTTGTTGGGGTCGTAATTGATTCAAGCGGATTTAAGCGCCCGAATTCCATGTGCAAATAGGAGCAAGCATCGTTTCGAAACTGTGTAAATCATTTGAGTCGCTCAAGAGAATGCAAAGGAAATTTACAGGAACGATTCCTGGAAAAATACTTTCTGCTATAGTAGAAATCTAATTTTTGTTGCTGTTTCTGTTGCCAATATAACTTTTACACCAATTGTACTTTTTAGATTCTGTTTCTCAAGATATTAAGATACTCAAGAAGCTGTGTCTCTCCTCATCTAGGCGTCAATTGTAGCTGCCATATCATTTACAAGCTTTTCGCTCCTTCTAAAGCTCTTAGAAGACTCTTTTTGTCTGCGGCTCCATTTATTAAAGTAAAAGCTCTTTTTCATCTACAAGTGCTCCGTATTGGCATTATTAAGGATTCAGATATGTTTCCGCGACGAAAAAAATTTGAGGAAAATTGCAAGTGAGTATCTTTTGCGAATCAGGCGTTTTTGTTCTTCTCGGTTGCAAAAGCATACAAAGCTTCCAGATGATCGTCCACTGGATCCAGGACATCCCAGTTAATGATTATCTCTAAGTCTAGAACTTCTAGATATTCTTCCGAACACACACTATATTTAGACAGTGGTAGCCATATGGAGAACTCTTTTCTTATTATTTTTAAGACCCATAGGTTCTGCATGGTCGAAAAAAGCGATGGCTTCAAGCAAAAGAGTTGCTCTCAAATCGCTTTTATATATATACTTAAAAAGTATTTAAAATAACTGTCCAAAAAATGATCAAGCCTGATTTTGGTGGAAGATCAAGGCCTGATTTTCAACCGGTGCACCGCGGTGTTTGGACAAAATGTGACTGATGCAACTGGAAGATCAAAGTCACTTTTCCCAAGTGTTTAAAGGTGCACTATTTGCCTTAAACCTACGCGAAAATTTCCTTTCCATTCCCTTCTCCATCTAGACTTTTCAAGCGATTATCTGGCTCATTTTGCTACTGGTATAAGTTGAAATATATGACCTCTCCATTATTTGCTACCTTCTGTTTGAAATTTAATCTATCGTGCAAGTTCGGAGCGAAGTTTGGTAGCAGGTTGAAACTAAACAATAAAAGTTTAGTTTATTGGGTCACATTTGTTATAAAGAAGAATATTGAGGAAAAGTTTCTGACCGACCAGCCAACGTAAAAGTTACGTAGTTTCAGCCGGAAAATGAGTGGTAGTTTATGTGTGGTGTAAATCATAGAGTATAGTTATCAAAACTTTTCTGATACAGTTTGGAAGAACCAGTTCTGATGTAGTTCGATTATATTCGAGTTTCAGCCGGTGTATTTGGAGTTTGGCAAAATTGACTTTCATGCGGCCGAAAAATTCAATTATCACTGGCCGATAATTCAAGTGGCAATGACTTCTGCGGAACAATAATTAACTGAAGCGCATTCTACCGATCTGGGGATTTAGATTTAATTATTACGGGCCGAAGCTTGGCTTAATCTGTATTGAATATCTTGTGCAATTTGCTATTGGATCTGAAATTAAATCGGATTTTCAATGATTGCTTTGTAAATTGCAATTTCCGCTAATGCAACGGCGAGACGATTTCGAGTTTCGGTTTTAATTTTCCAACTATTCTGAAAAGAGTTGTAGATTTATTTCCACTTTCATTATTTCCTTAATCACGAAACTAATGGACTGGGAGCAATTTACATATAAACGAGGTTGGGAAATTTTATATAAAAAATCCATCATTCGACTATTAGCTCCAATTCACCCGTCAAAGCTTCCAATACGTGTTTGAATTGCATCTAACATTTCGTCCTTATATGTATAATAATGAGGCTGCGGTTGCTTATGCAAATTACGAGCAGGCTCAAATTGCCAATATCTCTACACTAATTGAGATTAATTCTATTCTATCTGGATGCATTGATGTACTCAAATTGTTGCATACATATCATATTCTATCCATTGTTGAATTTGCCCATTTATTTGCTAAAATATCTGAATAATTGGTAGATTAACGCGCAAATTAACTGACATTCTTGATTTAATCTTGGGCCTGGTTGGGCCCTGAATATAAAAGTGCCAGTGTCTTAAAATAATTCATTTTCCCCTAAACGTACCTCATTCAGTGGAAGCGGTGCGAAGCTTAAAGGATTTACCGTGTTAACTCGCGTTGCTTCCGGTGCTTTTCCCGGAAAAAGTGGGGCTACGTGCAGAAAATGCATCTTAAAATTAATATTCGTACGCGTTTTGCGCCCCTGTTTTTTTCGCTTGTAATTATTTAGTTAGTGGTATAAAATATCGTTTTTTTGAGAATTAGGCAGCAGGTTTATTGAAAATTAGAACAACGGTGCTGATATTAACAGAAACACAAAAACTATTAAACTACTTGCTCGATTTTTGCAGTTTTTGCCCCATTTGGAAGCGAAATAAATGTACATTGACGTAGTGTAAAGAGTCAAGCCAGGTACATTTTTACGGAGCAAAATTTGCAAATATTAACAGATTTTTAGTTTCTCACATACTCAAGAAAACACTTTTTTTACACTTCACTGGGTCTGTGGTTTCCCTATGGCCGATGATCACTCTCACCAAAACACCCTGTATGTTGGGCTTTAAATTGAGAGCAAAAGCAGCAAAACGATTCAAAAATCCACGAATTTATGTCGTCTTGCCCACATCCTGGGGCTGATCTATTTAATTTTTTTCTGATCTCTCTTATAAAAAACTCTCTCTGTGGTTTGAAAAGCCCAATTTCAGTGCAGCCCACAAATTTGCATCCATTATTGAAACAACAGCCCTCTTTATTTCCGACAGGCACTTGAATCTTGTTAACCATGATTCAGTTTCTCGCGTAGGTTACATTAATTTAAATTTCCTTTAACACAATTTGTGTTTTCCCGAGTTATCCGGAGTAGGGGAGCGCCGTAATCTACGATGTCAGAAAAATCGTTCGAGCGTGAAATAATTCCTCCCTTGCAGCTTATTTATATGTTCGTAGACTGCAGGCGAAGTACACGATAGATACGCAAATAAATAAATAAAAATAAAAAGTTGACGACTCCCTGCTCGAAGGATTCCGGTCGGGGATGCGAACGAAAAGCGGAAATTCTGGTAAAAATAGTTAGTAAATTCAACCAAAGGATCGTCTACTGGAAATTGCAATTTTTGGAGCCAAATGCTGCAAATCAATGGCGATTAGTCGTTCAGGACACAAGCAGTAAAGCGCTGTAGTTAATTAAAGGACTTGATCATGTTATCTGGTGCGGATGGCCTCTTTATGACTCTTTTTACCCGTTTCCAATTAGGCTAAATG